TCGCAGCTGCTCATGTTCTGCAGCAGCGAGTGCAGCTCGGCCGTGTTGCCCTTGCGCACCGCCTCCTGGAAGACGCGCTGGCTGGGCGCCGCCGCCGCCGCCGCCGAGCGCGGGGCCGACAACTCCGCCTGGCTCATGGCTGCGCGCCCGGCTGGCGACGGGGCAGGCGCCGCGCCCGGCCCCGCATGGGCGAGGCGGCGCGCGGGCCCCGGAGAGGCCGACCGGCCTGGCTTCGCCTCCGCCGCCGCCGCGCCCGGGATCGCCGCCTGGCTCGAAGGCTCGCTTGGCTCCGCTGGCTGCCTCTGCCTGGCTGCTACGGGCGCCGAGCGCCGCGGGTCGGCCGGGGACTGAGCGGGCGGCCGGCGGGGGCGCTTTTTAGGCGGCCCCGTGATATTTGCATAACAATGGGCCGGGGCCCCGCCCTCCCCACCCTCCCGGGAGCGGATTGGTCGCTGCCTGGCGAGGGAGGGCCGACACAGCCCCGCCTTCCCTGCACACGGCCCGAGCTGGACCGGGGAGGGGGTGGGGGGTGGGGGTCGTGGGACCCGCACCGGCGGTGGCGGCAGTTTCCCGGGGTCGGCCGAGCGCTGCCCTCGCTTGCATTGCGGCGGCTGTGCGATCGGGACTCCCGGGCAACCGGGCGCGCGTTGAGGGATTGCCCTGCCCGTCTTTTGCCTGGGAGGGCTGCTCCTCCTCCTCCTCCAGCCGGCAAGATCGCCCGGATCGAGAGAGGAGAGAAGGGGGGGGGGCGAGTTGCTGCTCCCCACCTGGGTAGATGCAGCCCCGGCGGGGTGGGACAGAAATAGCCAAGCCGCTGGCCTTTGGGCTCAGGAGGTGCACGACGCCCGTTTCCCCCGTTCTTCCCCCTCCTTGACCGCGCATCAGCCCCCAACTCCCAGCAAGAGAAGCCGAGAGGCGCTTCACCCCTTTTCCCTCCCCTTCAAAACGGCGCCTTGCACTTTGCAAACAAGCCTGTGAGGCAGAAATTCAACAGGGGTGGCTACCGTCCCTTGAACTTTCTGCTCCGAAATGCTTGCCTGGCTGGATTGTCTGCTGCTTCCGTTCCCTTTTTCAAAAGGGTGCAAAGAAATCTTGGGATTCTGCGGAAGCACCTGCTCTCTTTGACCAGGTAGGTCTCAAACCACGCAGGTCTCCCAGGCGCCCCTCCCTCCCTTGGCCTCTCTGGAGGGCTCCCTGTTGGGACACCCACCTGGCACACAACTACAGTAAAACTACAGCACAAAACAACCAATAAACCAGCCTGGTTTGAAAGAGACCCGGTTAACTCACCTGTTTTCTCTGCCCCAAAGAAACAACCTACTGACTGTCAGGTTTGCTTCCCACCTGCATGAAGCTCCTGTCCTCTGTTCCCAGGGCAGAAGGATCCAGGGCATCCCTGAAAGACCAAGCAGGCGCAGGTCAAGGGTCTGGCTTACATTTTAAGGAACAAACTGGAAGGGGGGTGAGCTTGGGGCAGAGGTGGCAGCACAACCTGGGATACCACCCTGGCTCAGATGGCAGCAAACCCCACAGAGAAGTGGGGCTGCCCCATGCATTCAAACTTGCAGAAGTAGGTGCTTTTTAATAAGACAAAACGTGGGGTTCTCTTGTGGTTGGCAGTTTTTGCAGAAGTAGCAAGAAAAGGCCTTGCGGTGGGCGCAAAAAGGTCTTCCTGCCTTCCTCTCCTCCTCCTCCTCCTCCTGTCCCCCTGGTATAGCCCCCCCATAAGGGGGAAATGGTGGGGTGCAGGCGTGCCATGGCTTCCTGGTTGTCCGTGGGTCCCTGCCTGCTTCTGTGGAGTGGCTGTTCCTCAAAGGGAGGACTCGGGGTTTACATGGGGCAGGAGGCAGGGGGCCCTTATCAGGAAGCAGATCTATTGAAAACGATTGCTGGGCAAACAAAAGACAGAAGCCGCAGCCAAGCCCACAAAGGAACTGCTGACTCAATCAATTTGGGGGGGGGGGGGGGGAGGGGAAGAACAAAAAGACACGAGGAGGAAGGGGGGGGGGGGGGGGGGAGACAGGGGGCAACCGGGGGGGGAAAAAAAAAAACGGGCCCGGGCCGGCCGGGGGGGGGGGGGGGGGGCGGCGTCTCCCATTCCAAGGAGCACTTAAACCAAGATGAAAGAAGAGACCGAGGCCAAGAGTCCCGTGTGACCCGAAAGTTTGCAGGTTCACCTCTGCTTCCACCACAAGAGAGGCTTCTCTCTCTCTCTCTGGTTTCCTGCCTGAGGGGTGAAGAACCCACCTCAGTCAAGGAAACTTTTTTTTTGGGGGGGGGGG